TAGTGTTCTTCTCCACTCTTAATAGTCATACATATTCTCACATCGAGTCGTGTGAATAGCAGTGGTTCATCATTTTAACTATTAAGTAATAAGCAACACGAATAAAGAGATTTACGACCACGGTTTTTGAAAAACAGGATCACACCAATTTTTCTCTGGTACTAATTCATAAGTTCTAGTTTCCAAGTTAAACACAATAACATATATTTCTGACATCGAACGTACACGCTGTTTTCAGACGCGTGATCATAAATTTGAAACGTGAGATTGCAGATAGGATAGTAGGTAGCTAGGGTTGTTGGATAGATAACGTTGGTAAAAATATATAATAGAATTTTCGTGCAGATACAACGATAAACTACTATATGGGTTTGTGCGTCGGAACTGTGCTGTAAGTTCAAAGTTTTTACAATCATATCGATAATAGCACGTCGTTCAAACCGTAAACTTGACGGATATGCCACCGTAAAAAATGAACTCTGCCGTTTACGCACGAATGTGACGTGTTATTTTTTGCATCACAAAATCGACATTTCTCAGCATAGTACCGACAGTTGTATTATTTTGTTCATCCGGCGAATTTTGAACACCTTAAGCTCATAATTTAAAGCAAATAATCGTGGTCTACTTCCAGGGTCATGCTTCAATGAGAAGTTGTTACATTAGACCCAGTCTCGTCCTTCAAGTCAATCAAACATCGCATATTTATAATTCGATTCTTCATGGGGTTTGCGTTGACGTATTCCAAGAATCGCAAATAAATTGTAGCCCATAAGCAGTTGGCAATCGGTTGCAATTATTTTCCACACGATCCAATATGTTATCTTCCAATAATTTTTAAAACGAAAAAATTTAATTTAATGTAAAAACTTGAGGAATATACACTTGCAAGCTTTTATAGTTTCATCCGTAAAAGAATGACGTCCTCTGTGGAATACATTATTTAACTTAATAGCAGCTGCTTAGCTTATACAGAAAAAATACGCCACAGTTTTTATCGCTTTTCTCAACTTCTTGAAATCGCCATAACCCACGATCGATGATTTTCGTAAACAAAAATGTCATTTGCAATAAAAGAAATAAAAGATTCCAAACACAAGATTTACTAAGTATAAATACACAGATCATTTTGTCAAATTTGGACATAGTTAAAGTAAAAGGAAAGCCGTCAATTCTCAGCATTCGCTACAGTTGTTTACAGTTACCCAATGGATTTGGTGGCAATTATTTTACTCATTCGTGAAAAGTTAGTGGTGCATGAAAACATCTAGACCTTGTTTCAATAAATCAACTCCAGATCAATTACAGCATTTTTGTATTTAGGATACAGTCACCTACAGATCCTGAAATATAAAAGGAATGTTTGTTGGGTAAAGCTCAAGGACTATTATTATCATCATTTCTTCAAGATGTGACTGGAATGTGCAATCGTACTCTCACGCTTGGAACTGACACTAAACAAGTGAAGGATGGGAAAAATGCAGACGTTAAGGAAGTTCAAAATGCTTATGTGAATTTTGCTTCTTTTGATCGTACAATTATGTATGTTAACTAATTAGTTAAGAGTCAATAATGAACTTTATGAAATTGTCTAGTGAGTTTATTTTGAATGAGATTTAAATGATATTGAGTTCTATTTCCAAATGTTTGATCATATCCACGCCCACTCTCAACTTTCTTTTCTTTCTCCGTATCTCCGATACAACGTGTGTTGATGTGTTTTGGATAAGAGGCGTGATAATATGAATAATGTCCGGATTTCATTGAAATTCTTATCGACATAGTGACAATCAGAAGAACTGGAAGAACAGGAATGTATTTTTTAACTAAATTTTAAATAGAATTGTTTACATCATGCATCGGTCACTTAGGTTAATTATATGCTTTAGTAATTAATTTTGTCATGGAGATTGATGATAATTATTTTTACTTAGTTGTTTTTATATTACTGAAGATTATTGCATTATGTCAGTATTTAAAACTCAATACTTCCACTTTTTCAGTTATTTCATTTCATAGATAAGTGTTCAGCTGTGTTTGGACAGTGTTTTCTGTTCACCGAGTGTGTGGTCAATTTTTTCACTATTCTGTACTTTATTATTTTTGTCTTCCGTATTGTTAACAAAATTTTGTGCTGTCGTTTCACCAGTGATATCACAGTGATTACTGCATCATGGCACTGTGTGAAACTAATTCACTATGGTATTTTGTTTTCACTGAAACTCTAGTAGAGTAAGTGAAACTTATGCAAACGCACATAGGTGCTGAAAAGGAAACTGAATGCCGTATTTTTTGTCGCTTTTGTTGTTTGGAGATTAACATTAAAGTTTATTACAAGCAATGCGCCCTTCATTTTACTCATTCTCTTTTCGTGTTTTATTTTTCGTCTCTGATATCTCTCTTGAGTTCAATATGTCGATAAACCTCTATGGCGCTTGATCAATTGAGTCCTGCAAAGAAGAGCAGTGGGATCCAGGTCGGTTAATCTGATTGGGCTTGAACGAAAAAGAGACATACATTTATGATAGTAGTTCCACAGGTGCAAATCTGTCGTTCTACATGTGAATGTAGGGTATACTTGTGAATAAAGAACAACAAATTAGAATTAAGAAATTGTTGACAATCAAGTTCTAAGCGTTTTTCAATCGGTGATAACATGCGTTTCGCAAGCAATACTTATATGGTGACAAAACATGATAGGAAATGTGAACAAGTGATAGGTCAATGAAAACGATAAGTAATTCGAGTTAGCAGTGTAAGTGAATTAGTGAGAGACTATCTGATGTATCTCATCAGAATTATGGTCATATCTGACGGAGCAAATATGATAGAGAAATGATTGCTTAATAATACTATTTGAAAAAATATTAAGAATCTGAGGAATTTAATCAAGAATCATATGTTTTTTATAATTTTTATTGTCTGATTATACAGCCAAATTGATATCTTTAATTACAAGGTCAAAATACTTATGTGAATTTTGCTTCTTTTGATCGTACAATTATGTATGTTAACTAATTAGTTAAGAGTCAATAATGAACTTTATGAAATTGTCTAGTGAGTTTATTTTGAATGAGATTTAAATGATATTGAGTTCTATTTCCAAATGTTTGATCATATCCACGCCCACTCTCAACTTTCTTTTCTTTCTCCGTATCTCCGATACAACGTGTGTTGATGTGTTTTGGATAAGAGGCGTGATAATATGAATAATGTCCGGATTTCATTGAAATTCTTATCGACATAGTGACAATCAGAAGAACTGGAAGAACAGGAATGTATGTTTCAACTGCACTTTTCAGGAAGTTATTATCGTTACATGTATCCGAATGTCATTCTTCACTTATACATTGGCTGTTCCTTTTTTGACATTCAAATTCCAATATTATATCGTGTAATCCCCTATTTGTGGTACATGTTGTATTTTTATGATGTATATAATTTCTTATGTTAGCAGATGAAAACAACTGGGAATAATTTTTGAAAATAAATAGTTAGATGTCAGTTCATCAATGAGTCTGACATTATAAATTTTAGCGAACTGAACTACTGGTAGATCCACTATCAGATATTCACACCTTTATTTTGCCCATCCTCGATATTTTAAAGATCTTTCTCCAATACGGTTAGTAACCGAGCTCCTTCACATACTGCATAGAACTAAATATTCTGTTGCTTCTTAACACCAAAAAATACTTCACTCACTAACCATAGGCTTAAGACATATCTTTAATTTATGATATTTAGGCAAGCTTGGTCTTATACATTCTACGAATCTCCCTGTCACTATATAGGAATGTTTTGATTCATAAAATGGAGGAGAGACAATATGCACCAATTATCGATCACTCAAATAATTAAATAAAGTCGTTTTTCTTTAAGGGTTTCATCCTAGTTACTTACTAACTACGCCTGCTAGCCTTCATAGAACCTAGTTTGCCAAAGATGGTTATTTAAAAAAATGTCCTGCACTCTCTTGTCCACTTCTTGTCGGGTGCTGTGTCGTTTTCCAAAGACTATTGACCATGTCTTGTAATTTCATTCTCAACTCCTTCTGTGTAGACTAACACTTCAAGTTACATTTTTTTATGAACAACATGACATTAAGAGAGTTTTTATGTTAATTTCACTTGTTATGTGAGACAATTCACGGTAGTGTTTATAAACAATGGTCATTTTCTGGCCAGCTTTTGCCGATTATTATTAAAAGAAAATATGTTTCAACACCGGACCTCAGCATAAATTTTTATTATTGAAAAAATTAATTAATTAACGAAAGTTTACACCATATAAGTTGTTGCAAAATTTAAATATTGAAGCATTCATATCTAATTTCGGGTCTCAATATAAAAAATAAAAACAAGATTTTCATAAGATCACAACACTGACTGATTTATTGTCTTGATTTGATTAGAAAAATAATAGGTACAACAAATATCCCGATCGATATCGCCATGGTTACATAATTATCTGTAGATCTGCTAGTACGAAGAAAGGCATTCGTCGAGAGACATATTAAACCTGATACCGCACTAGTAATGCCATTCAATGTACCAAAATAACGTATTGGGAATGCAGACAGAAGAAAGCTAATGAAGCAACTGAATAAGAGTGACCTTAATATAACCAAGAATACAAACGATGCATAAGAAGCTATAGGACTAGGTATAAACATCATTGCACTCAGAGCAACAGCAGAGAGAGCCAAAAGACCTTGTCCCGGGACTAGGCCAAGTGTTAGAGTATAATACATTTTATCGGGATTCGCTAAATCACGTTCGTTGGTGAGCATGTTCTTAATGCTCGTTCGAGCTCTTTTGAGACAGAAGTCAATCATAAGACCAGTAACTGGTGACAGTAAGAAACTCGACATGAAGAATGCTGAGGAAATACTTAACAAATGATTTGCAGTTGACTTGTCAGGATACGCCTCATTTATGTGTTTTGCTAAGTGCGATAGGTAAAATGAGAAACGAAACAAACCCAAAGTAAACCAAAGATTAATCAGTAAGTATGATAAAGAAAAAACGTATTGGGAATGCAGACAGAAGAAAGCTAATGAAGCAACTGAATAAGAGTGACCTTAATATAACCAAGAATACAAACGATGCATAAGAAGCTATAGGACTAGGTATAAACATCATTGCACTCAGAGCAACAGCAGAGAGAGCCAAAAGACCTTGTCCCGGGACTAGGCCAAGTGTTAGAGTATAATACATTTTATCGGGATTCGCTAAATCACGTTCGTTGGTGAGCATGTTCTTAATGCTCGTTCGAGCTCTTTTGAGACAGAAGTCAATCATAAGACCAGTAACTGGTGACAGTAAGAAACTCGACATGAAGAATGCTGAGGAAATACTTAACAAATGATTTGCAGTTGACTTGTCAGGATACGCCTCATTTATGTGTTTTGCTAAGTGCGATAGGTAAAATGAGAAACGAAACAAACCCAAAGTAAACCAAAGATTAATCAGTAAGTATGATAAAGAAAAAACACAACTTAATAAAGATGGGTAACGTTTATCCAAAATTGAAGATATTTCTCCATAGATATCCATTTCTCCCGAACTTTCAATTGACGTTTTCTGTTACAAAACAAATATAAGAAAGACGAACAATAATAACCGTCAGTGGTGAGAGAATTGCGTTCATATCTGTATTAGATTCTAAGATTTACTTTGACTTCTAAACCATGCATTTCTGTCAAGTTGAATAGATAATGACAAAATAAAACGGAAAATAATACAATGTCCCATCATAGTAAAAATAAATGGAGAACTGTAGAAGATCAGTAAACTACTATGTGCATAACGAGCAAGATTCTGTTATTAGGAATAATGGCATTTCATACCTATAATTGAGATCTTCGTGAAAGCGTCTTCCTCTCATCAAAAATCCGTATTCACACTCAATGGGAATGAAAACAAATTGTATATGGTATATATAGCTTGTGACAGATTTCAAACAAACGCGATCTGAGCAGAATAAGGAGTTCGATGATTGTATTGATTTTGTCGCACATTACAGTTTATTAGAATATGTGAAATGCCTACAAAATTTAAGATTCTGTCGATTCCGAAGTCCCGTCATCTTCACTTTTAGTGGTTTTGTTATGGATAGTTTCTACTGCAATTGAAACAAGCAGTTTAGTCTATCCTCCACGTGAAATATCGCACCGATCATTTCATGAAACTATCATTTCGTATGTCAGAATATGATGAGTTTGAACTAAATCTACGCAGCACGCTTACGTGATTGCACAACTGAGGCTAAACTGACTGGTGTTATTCGTTGAAGTGTTTAGTAGAAGAACATAATTCTAAGTTAAACACTGCAAAAGATAAACATCACTGACAAGGTTTACAACACCGAATGTGATTAGATTTTCAATCTAAATATATTCAGACCGGTTGCCTTAAAAACACAAATCTGTGTTGCTGTCTGCAAATATAACAATAGTTGATTATCACTTACCTCACATAACTTTTCTTCTTCTGTGTTGATGGAGGAGAATTTCCCCATATCTTCAGATTTCTGAGTAAGGATAAAGAGTGCCACAAAACTGCCAACAACTATTGAGCCGCAAGCCAAAATAATAAACGACCATTTGAATGGGAATACAAGATAGGTCAACGACAACACATAAGCTACAACCGAACTTGAGTCGTACGCTCCAGACAAAAGCGATATACAAAGACCACGAAACTGTGGGAACATGGAACTGACTTGATGATTGCATATCAAGCTGCATATACTACTTAAAGCGACAAGTATACCGGCAGCATAGAATAGTGGCACTGTTTCACCAGTTGTAAATGCAAACATTACGGTACCAGCAAAGTATACTACAGCTGCCAGCAGTTTTAATATTCTCAGCCCCACCTTATCCATCAGTATCCCAGCAAATACAATAAGACACATTTGTGACACCATCCAAACCGTGAAGACAACCCCGAACATATCATAATGATAAGAGCAGCCAGTTTCCGTACAGTTGTAAGCGTAGACGCCAACTGATTTGTAGACTGTGATGAGGGAATTGAAGCCGTAGTGATAACCACCAAAAAGAAAAACATCAAAAATTGCTAGCGCCAATCCGAGCCAACGGCGAATTTTCGGCGGGAAGACATTATCGAATTTCTGACCTGTAATAACGAGATAATTAGAATAACGCTGTGACAGTAATGATCATTTCTAAGTCTTATGTAACCGTATAAGTATAATTGCTGGAGTGAAAAACCTACGTAGATTTTCTAATGGGTGAACATAAGCGCTCAATGTGTACACAGTCCCAACTTGAATCGGTAGGAAAAGGCTGATACAAACATACAACAGTAATTCGATGTTGACGGTTTTTAAGAATGTTTACGAAGCATTTGAACATTGGCGACAAAAGCTTATACGGCCTGAATATCCTCAGTCAGTTAATCTTGTGAAATATAGGACCTGACACATGAGTGTGAGTCTGTTTAATTCTACATGCCACACAAGAATGGTCAGATAAAATATCATTACGAACATCAGAGTTGTAGAGGCGGTAATAGTGTAAGTAGTGGCAGAAAACACTAGTTGTACATTTGAGATAGTGAGAATGAATTCATAGAATAGATGAGGGATCTCAACAAATGTCTGGAATGTATAAACACCTGCTACATTCATTGATCTTGTTCATTCACTCATGGAGAAGAACAAGGTAGTCGTATTTTTACAAATCGAACACTTGTATTATTCAAAGTCACATGAAACAAAAGTATAGGGTATTCGAAATATATTGTTAATCATTTGACCTAACTACCTCAGGAGAATAATGGCAAAGGACATTTGATTGACACTGATCGTTTGCTCAGCTTGTGTATCGTATATTGATAGTATTAGGTCAAAATGGCCTGAACATGATTTACATACGTATGTTTATTGTAAGACTCCAACTCATTAGTCTTTCATCAAAAGCTGATATCACTGGTTGTATTAGGATCGTTCAGCAGAGAATGGGTTATGTAATCATAATTAGTTTATAGGAGAAGTCACCTTTATTTTTTTAATGGTCTTTTATAAATCATTCTAGATAAACTCAAAAAGAAATTCAATTTCAGGACATCATACATCCTAGTTACTCTACGTTTACAACTTCATGCTGTTAATTGGATTGTGCCTTACATGTTATCGAATTAAAAGCTTAGAGGATGATCAAATCAGCACTTCAACTGCAATGATAATTGATACGGCACGAATATGTCCTAATATGCTACATATATATTTTTGGTGAACCATAGTTTATGGACAACCTTTGGGCGACGCTGAAGTGACTTTGAGAGTGAACAACATCCAATAAGGTTTAAATGATGGTTATAAAGCAGTTAGAGTTCTCATTTACAGTTGACGGTTAGGGTTAAAAATTAGATTTAGGGTTTTTATCACGAGTTGACATAAGCTATAGTGTCAAAACTCTATTTAGCCAAATGTATGAATGAATTCTGGGCCCAAATTCATGATTTGTTATCTTATATCTGGTTGGTTTATCCATAAATTATAGTCACTCCATTTTTCTCAGTATATAGAATGTAATTGAAAAATGTATAATTCACGAGTGTTCGTAATTTCTACCAGCAAAATTTGTGAGTGTTTTTTCGCTCCACTAATATTAAGACTTATGGAGCATGTTCCATGGTTTGTTTCTCAATCATTCCAGTATTTCACCAACTAATTTATATTCAAATTCGCACAATACTATCGTGTTATTAAAAAATTATCGATCGTCTACTACTTCACGAAAGAATATTTACTTTACTGTTAGTTTGGATATAGATAAGACGTATGAAAAATAAGAAGCCGTATTGACTTACACAATTCCATCTTCTGCACTTTGAGGTGGTGTTCTCGTTGTTTTCGTGGTATTTATATTATTAGCATACTTAAACACAACGTTTTCTATTGCCCTTCTTATTCAACATCCAATAACTTTGTGACCATCAAATAGTAGTTATTTGGTTTAAAAGAATGAAACACACTATAGAGATTGCGAAACAATGTATAGACTGTATCAACCTCACTTTGATCAACAACAATGGTAGAGTTCCCTCAAGGACAGTTAATTAGTTTTTATTGGATTTTGCGTCCGTTGTTTTTTATTCCTCTGTTCTGCTCCCTGATTTACGTATTGCAGTTTCAGTTCAAAATGATATGAGACTAAGTGGGCTCTTTTTACTCCTGCCAGTGTTGTTCTTTCTGTTGATACGACTTACTTTTTAGGAGCATCAACACAGGGTGCTTCAACACTCCATTCGTTCACGACTAGATGAGGCAGTCGATAGTCAGCTGACATAATATTTGTTCTTGAATGGCGATTTTCTTTGGAGAATTCTCAAACTCTATTTCTCGAAAGACAAGAAAAATAAGGCTAGATTAAATTCATACTTGTCACTGAGTCAATCAGTAACATTTGATTCTTCTATTTGAAAACTTCAAAAGATTTGTTTTAGCTAGTCTATGGTCGAACGGGAGGTCTGTGATTCCAGTAGTCAGCTCAGTTGCGGTTCGTCGAATCTTCTCAAGCAGCTTACTGTCTCCTTTTAAGCACCGGCTAGGCACTCTTGTGCGATGCTATAATTCTGTGCGATAGAACATTCCATACGAAGTCGAAAATAATTCACACCGACATGGGTACATACTTTACGTGCTGTCCATAGGGTTATAAAACTTTTGGTGGCTTTCTCATGTGCAGGAGTTTTGAGTCTTTGCTGACGATGACTCCAATATCATTGCGTGTTTAGAAAACAATTAGCTCAATGTTATTCATCGTGTACCTTGGAGACCGATATGCATCTTAATGCGCTTGGAAGCGTTTATTATCAACTGCCAAGTTCTAGGTCATTTTGAATCTCTAAACCATCCCCTTCAATTTTTATCACTCACCATCGATGTATAACAAGGCCAATCGTTATAGAAGACTAGGAAGTTTGCGACAACTCAGGTTGATTGATCTGGGATTGACCTCGAACATCCAAGTATATGTTTGAACATTAATACTCAGTTATTCATTCACCTTATTCTCTATAGGGATTATATTTCTTACTATCTTATAGTAAGTGTTGAAATGCTGGTCAGGTAGGTCTTTTTTCGACTCACTGTCATGCTGAGAGCGTGTCCTAGGATATAAGCTTTCGTAATCCTCAGCCATCTGAAAAACAACTGACCTGTCTAGGCGATCAACCTTTGGTTATTCAACTAGTGTTTGGGAAACTGAGTTTGCTTTCACGACATTAGGTCATTTCTTATTTTTAATTTGTACCCATTCATTTTATTTCACTAGATTTGCGGTCTCTATCGTGTTATAAACACGGTGAAATCCTGGATAGTTCCTTAAAACTAGAGTTATCAGGCTTTCAGTTCTCTTGCTATAAGAAGATCACGCATTGTGACCAGGCATTACTGCTTTGTTTCATTTATAGAAAGCGTCACAGAAGAAAACTTTCTTGAAACGATCGATTCTTATCTCATTTGGAATAACTTTGCGTCTTGTTGTGTATCAGCTGTGTGAGTGCCATACGATGCACCTCGACTACGCTTCATAATACGTCTCCTGGCAGCATTCACCATTGCAATGGCTTTGGACGGCGAGCTTGTTTGCTTCCAAACAGCATTACTGATTCAACCACAAGCATCGATTTTTACTGAGGCATTCGAAAGCTGCAGGCATTAGATTAGTCCAAACTTGTTGGTAGCACCCATTGCATTTATAGCGATGCATGCAATTTACTCCAGGGTATTGACAGCCTGAGCGCCGGTAGTTCCTTTTTCGCATTTCTCAGTCATCAACCAGACATAAAAGACACTCAGACAAAGGATGATTGCTAAAAAGAGTGGAAAACCGCAAATTGTTAAACCCTAAACTTTAGGAAATAAAAAGCCGTACCCATAAAGTATATATGATAACCAACTGTTGAAAAAATGATACTCCTAATATTGCTTAAACCGAAATAAATTCAGTCACAGTGAAATTGGATAACTTGTTGCGTAATCAACAATCAAAGGTATAAATTTAACCTTATTTGATAAACTCCTGTTCTATTTAAATAGCGCTCGATGTAGTTCCAGTGACCAACTAATAACACGTCTACAGAGGGCTGTTTGATGGAATAAACTAGTTGAATAGGGCACAGGACAAAGTGTAAATATCCGGAACTGTCTTTAAATTGAACTCAAATTTCAAATACTAAATATAGATTACACACTTACCAATCGATGGGTCACCAATGAAGATTTATCCTCCGGTCAGTAAGGCGGTTCCCTGGTAGTGTCACATTATTTGAATGCCTAAGGTGCGCGATAGATCATGTTAATGCAACCTACCATCCTTAGACAGACGAAATAAGTGATCATTTCCCCAACCCAGTACCCAAAATCTTTCACATTATCCCCTACAACACTTTTATGATGCGCTTCCATCCTGTTTTGAAATGACTCAAGTTATCATCCTAGGTTTGACATATTTAGGATTTTCGAATGTAGTTCTTTGGTGCGCTTTAGGAATTTTCAACTAACAGTTCGCAATTAAACATGCTGTACTGCTATTCAAAGAGGTGAGTTGTAGACTGGCTTCGGCTTAATTTCTAGTACAGTCGTTCTCATCTTGCTTTTAACATTACCCCTTAGTCACAAGTAGTTGATACACAAGTAGGGCGGTGGAAAAAGGAATGTTCGCTGTCTGTCCATTGCACCAACGAAATGAAGCTTTCAATGACGTGCCAGAAACCCACCAAAATATAATATCTTTCTGAGCACATATAACATGGGTGTCCGTTTTCATCCTGTATAGATATTAACAATTGCTTTCATTAACCATATAAAAACAATCATTTATTCCTGACAAATATAATTTACATTGGGCATCC